GCCTCTCTCATCTTTTTAAGTGGGAGAACTTGCACAATTGGTGGCTGACTAAATACTTTTTTGCCCCACTGTACATAACACCTGACAATTCCATAAACCAGACTCACCTTTTCTTGGGAGTACATAACAACTGTGTAGGTCAGCCACATAATGCCAGGAAAAGATGCAGTTGCTTTAACGAGTTGCTGACAGATGGTATGTGCTCTGAAACACCTTTCCCCCTTTGAATCCAAAGTGCTGCTACACAGCCCCAGTTGCTTTGTTTCTGAACAATGAATACTATACAGTATTCTACTTTTAAAATCACTGTTCTATCATACAAAGAATAAGCCCTCAAGAACATTAAGCAGGACTGGTGAGGGTAACCATAGTGATAGAGCCCTTCAGTTTAGAAGTAGATAAGAGATATATGCTGAATAACCATTTACCTTTAATCTGATCTGACTTTTGCCCTCAGAGACATCCAATACTTCAATTAATGGCTGATGTTCCCTCTCTGATTGACTGGGACAGCAAATCCCTGTGAGACTGACAAGAAACTTATCGACATTGTTTTCAGTGATAAACCACCTTTCCTAAAGGCAAAACAGACATAGAAGGATTTAGTCATCATTTCAAATAAAAAACCTTAGTTCCGAAGACACCCTAGCTACTACAATCACAACTCTTCTTTTCTTTTTCTTCAAGGAGACTTTAATGATGCAGGGGTCCTTGGGGGAAAAAGGACCCAACAATTTTTTTCCCTATAATTGCCATACATTCTGAAGCAGCTTCTTTAACCTGCTGCTCTCCAGATGTGAAGGACTACAACTCTTAACATGATCTTTGACACCAGGTTGGGAAAGTGTGCTCTGAAAGCAATCAGCTGTACTGTCCTTTGTAAAAAGTGAAGGAATAACAAATGGGAGCAGTAGGGCCAGGGTGGTGCAGTGGTTAAAGAGTTGGACTGTCACCAAGGAGCCAAAGGTTCTAGTCTACCCTCACCCACCCAAAGTTCACTGAGGGTCTTTGGATAAGTCACTCTCAGCCCAACCTAACTCACAAGGTTGTTGTGGGGGAAAATGATGTGATGGAATGGAATTATGAAGGCCAGGCTCAGGGAGATAAACATTTTCTTAGCTCCCCAGAAGAGCGTGGGAGGAACAAGAGGATGAGACTGGCACCTCCCTGAGGAATTCACACTGTTGTGACTGGCTGACTTTGGGAGCTGGGGTTTCAGTCTGGGAAGATTAATGTCAGGCCTAGCCCAAGGAACTCCAAGAGACAATGCAAATTCAGTCCAGTTATATTTATTAGTTACAACCTCTAGCAAGAATCTTCACACAAGCCATATAAATGAAATCAGCTAATAGAGTAGCACTCTCTGGGAAAGAAAATGTGGATATCATGAGCTAATGAATGGAATATGTACTAGAATATTGTATTGATATTATGGCTATATGGCTTTTCAAACAAGTTTTTTAAAGTAACTTACTATACAATAAAATAAAATAAGGTTGTCAGCTCTATAACTGTGCCTTTTACAGCAGTTTCAGAAGCCACTTTTTTTTATAGAACTTCCTTGCCATATGGGTGCTTTAACCACCTTTCCAATGGAAAATTATAAACAACCACATAAAAGTATAACACTAGTTCAGTTCTATCTTCAGTTCTCGAGTATATTTTTCAGTGCAACCACTTTAAAACATAAAAAAAATCCCCATAACATGTATAGTACAAGTTAGTATATAATATGCTTAAAAATACTGAAAAGTATGAAAGTGTAATCTGTTAAATAGCAGAAAGAAGTGGTGAGGAAGATGTGCATCTTTAGGGCTTTTATGTTCAAAAAACAGCTAGTGCTCTTATCAGTATAGATTACATACCATTTGGAACACTGCGAGAGAATCCATGACACCAGTACTACACAACACACTTGACCTAACCAAATATACTAAGATCAAAATACCCAGAATCATAGACCTCATCAACTTCTGCTTCACTACCTATTTTCATTTTGATGAAAATACCAACAAATCAGAGGAACACCCATGGGATCACCATTCTCAGGACTCAGCAGAGACTGTAACTCAGCATCTAGAAAATACAGCACTCCCACACATACATCCGGTATGTAGATGACACCTTTGTCATAATAAAAAGGAACAACTAGAGAAGACACATGAAACAATCAACAACATCTTCAAAGGAATAAAATTCACAAGGGAAGAAGAAAACAACAATCATAATAAAAAGGAACAACTAGAGAAGACACATGAAACAATCAACAACATCTTCAAAGGAATAAAATTCACAAGGGAAGAAGAAAACAACAAACTACCCTTCCTGGATATCCTCATCAGCAGAGGAAATGATGGCAAATTAGAAACACAAGTCCATCAAAAACAACCCACACTAACCAAGTACTCCATTACCAAAGTTACAACCCAACCTCCTGCAAGAGGAGCCGTGTAAGTACATTATTCAGACGAGCGCAAACGCACTGCAGCAACCCAAAACACTGAAAAAGGAAACAGATAGCCTATACATCTTTCAACAAAATGGATACCCACG